CCTTGAGAATTATGAACTGGAGTTTGTATCCTTCCAAGTCTCTTCCACCAAGCTTTCACCCGTGTTTCCTTACTGAACTAAAAATGCGTGATAGCAAACTTGTTCGGCTTTGGGATGGAAAAGAGGTAAGAATATACCCAATGAATGCTATTTAACAATTTTTTTATGTCCAATAAAATTGTAAGGTTTTGGAATTGGAAGCTTATATACATTATTTGTTGTATTCTGCAGAATTTCCCCAACTTGAAATATATTGATCTTAGCAACTCACGTAAAGTGATAAGTACCCCAGATTTTACTGGTCTTCGAAATCTTGAGGAGTTGATTCTTCAGGATTGTACGAATTTGGTTGAGGTACACCCGTCTTTTGCAGTTCTTAAAAGACTTAAAGTTTTGAGACTTGGTTTCTGTAAAAGTTTTAAGAGTCTCCCAAGTGAGCTAGAAATGGATTCCCTTGAACATTTAGATCTTACTGGATGCTCCAAAGTGAAAAAGATTCCAGAATTTTCAAAACACCTGAAAAATTTGTCCGTGGTTTTTTTAGGCGGGACTGCGATTGAGAAATTACCTTCAACAATTGGACATCTGGTTGGACTTACTGTACTGTTTATTGATCATTGCAGAAATCTGTTGGATATTCCTATTGAGATTTGTAAGTTGAAGTCTCTTTATATGCTGTTAGTCCGCGGAAGTTCGAAAATAGAAAAACTCCCAGGGAAAATGGAGTGTTTAGAGCAACTTCAAATGGGGGGAAACGCACTAAGAGAGCCGCTTGTTGATATGAAAAATCTCAAATCGTTGCGGGTTTATGAATCAGTTGGTAAGCCAAGGGACGAGTGGGGCCTTCTCCGCTTATTTGGAATTAGAAAGAGCCATGAGCCTTGTTGGGGTTTGGTGTTGTCTTCTTTAAATCGTTTGCGTTGTTTGGAGAAAATACAACTATGCAATTGTCTTGGTGAAGGTGATATCCCCCATGATATTGGGGATAACTTGTCCTCTTTACGAATGTTAGATCTTAGTGGAAACAATTTTATTACCCTTCCAGCAAGCATCAAATGCCTTTCTCGACTTGTGTCTCTTTGTTTGTATGGGTGCCAAAGACTTGAGCAACTGCCAGATCTTCCGTCAAATAGCAAATTACACGTAGACGTAGATAATTGTACCTCCTTGAAAAGGTTGTCGGATCCCTCGAAGTTGAGCAGCAGATATGCCAGTATTTATGATTTTACTTTCAGTTCTCTGAATTGCATTACATTGGTTGAAGATGAAGACTGGATGAATACAATATGTTCAAGGATCGTGAAATTCGCCAGTAAGGTACTCTTGTCTCTCTGTCTCTCTCTGTCCTTCTCTCTCTCTCTCTCTCTCTCTCTCTCTCTCTCTCTCTCTCTCCCCCTAATGGTTCTTTTGGTGCAGGGAATCTGTCGTTCTTTGGGTCATAATTACATTGTATGCCCCGGAAAGGGGATTCCCGAGTGGTTCAACAATCAAACTGTGGGACATTCGCTAAATGTGGAGCTACCTCCTCAATCATGTAACAGCTGGATGGGAATTGCTTTTTGCGTTGTTTTTGCACTTCCTAAGGGAAACTTCGAAACTTTCCGTTTAAATGATGTCGATCTTAAGTGTTTGCCTGGGATTTCTTGTCATATTTCTGCAACAAAGCATATGGTGCCAGAACACCTTTGGATATTTTATTTGTCTCGAGAACAATGTCAGGAACAGTTTTCATTTGAAATATGTAATCGATGTGGAGGAAATGAACCAAATCTGGTGAAAATGTGTGGGGCTCGTTTGATGCACAAGCAAGATTTGGAAGAGCTCAACCGAACATTGAAAATCTTGAAGCGAACGCATGGATATTGGGAAGAAGCAGCTTCAAGTGAAAGTGGTAGTTTTGATGACCAAGAACAAGCTCACAAAAGGCAGAAGGAAGAATAAAAATTGCTTTCTGCTTTATTTAACCATTCAATGTTTCAGAGTCGTACTTGGAAAGCTAAACATGGTGCTTTTTCTCAGAATCTATGTTAGTAAGTCACCATCTCAATCCCAGTATAACCTGCCTGATATTTGATTATTTATTTTTCCCTCAAAGCTAATTTATTTGATCCAGCAATGAAGTATGTGTACATACAGTTAATAATGTGCGTCTCTCATCTATGTCAAATTGAACCAAAAAAGATGCAAAGTCGTATTATGTAAATAAGTTTTCAACAAAAAGTGCAAGGTATGGAAGATATGTAAGCAATATATGTTATGACATTTTCACATCAGCAAGCAAAATTTACTATGCTATGAACAGATAAGTAGCTGTAGGGATAATAATGTAACAATGCTTGGACAGTGCCGATCATGATATGTGAAAACGGACAAGGAAGCTGTCTGTACATCTTTCTTCAAATAAATGCAGGATATTCTATAACAATGTTGTGCATGTTGTGATTCTTTTCTTTTTTGTGGGTACTGATAATTTTGAACTCAACTGAAACTAGATTCTTAATGGCAAGACTAAGACGCAACCAAACAGTGAATATTTATTTATGTGCAGGATGAGAAGAAGTTTGTCGTACCGGGTTTATTTCGGCTTGGTTTTTTTCTGAGTGCAACTTCAGCTGCAGATGTTGCCTAACTGAACTATTTTAAACGTGGTTGGAACTTGGTAGAATATATCGAAAACTATATTTTTAAACTTTCCAAAACACGTTTGTTCTCGGCCTCCAGGACCTCATGTTCTTTTTCAGTTGCCCTTTCTTTCTGTATAGTTTCTGAATTTTATGCATATGCCTTAATGCAACTTGCAAAGAGAGCTGAGGCTTTAGTTTTCCATCTGTTACTACTCCAGAAAATAACCCAAAAAACCAGCGCTGACGTAGTATATTTTTGGCCGTTCTAGTATGAATTCAAACATGCGGTGCCAAAGTAGAGAAACTTTTGCCCCATGCTAAAATCGACACCATCGACTCGACATCCACAATTTAGGTTTATTTTTGGTCATTCTCTCTCCTCACTCTCGCTTGCAGTTAGTCGAGGTGACGGGATGCGAATGTTCTTCCAAAAGCGTTTTTTGAGCAGTTTTGAAGAGATCAAAACTCCATACCATGCTTAACTAGAAGACGTTCATCTTTTATTGTAATGGTGATTCTACTTCTCATGCCAAACCAAATCTATATTTCCGGCTAGTAATTCTAGTTGGTGTATTCCATTTACTTTAAACTACGTATTAATAGAACTCTCGTTGTCAATTAAAATTCCATAAAACTACAATTTTAATTCTCTAATTAAAACTGAATATAATTAAAAATGATGGGCAATTTAGTAATTACAAGAACACAAATTTTGTTGTTTTTTAAAAGCATCATCCACATATAGTTTTTAACTAGCAACGGTGCCCGCGCGTTGCTGCGGGTTTTAAAACTGTATAAAACATGCGAAAAGTTTTAAATACATACAATATGCAATACTATTTAGATATATGTTGAAATCTGTTTACAATCATATGGACTGGCGGTTCTATTGCCATTGTTCTAGTATTTACATCTTTTACAAATTTGAAATCCTAAGTGTCCTTAACTGAAAGAAAAGATAAAGTGGTTCCATTGCCATTGTTCTAATATTCACATCTTTTACAAATTTGAAGTCCTAAGAGTTCTTAAGTAAAAGAAAAGATAAAAGTTTCTTTCTCACCGAAATCTATCAATTTGAATCAAATCTTCTTAAGAAGTATAGATTGTAGCATACCTTGTAATTTTTGCAAGCTGGACACCTGCAATATTAATAGTGCCATAAGTTCTTCCTAAGCCATCGGAAAAATATCAAAAACCTGCAATCATGAAAAGAAAAAAAAATTAATATCATAAAGACAGAAAGAAAATTGCAGCCGTGAATATTTATAACACAAAGAAAATGATCACACAGAGATAAGATTGATCAACAAAGTTACATTTGTCTACCGAAGTCCAATAAAATACATCCAGAAAAGCTGTTCAGTTTTTACACTTCTTAATCAACAGACTTTAAAAACGAATTGAAATGAACTAAACGAAAAAGAATAACAAAAGTTCATGTAAAAAAAAAGGATTTAAACATATTAGACCATGCACTGGCTAACCTTTGGACTAAATCATCAACACTCTGAATACAAATAAATGAATGTGCACGTAGAGGTGTAAAGTAGAGGATCCCATAATTATCCCAATGTTATTTTGTCTATACCTTTGATGGAAATCCATAGAAGTCAGAGAGAGTTTCATAAAGAAAAAAGGCAGGACATGATTTCAGCATGTGTGCAACTTTCTTCAACCCTAGAGGTTCCACTTGTTTTGCGAAAACAAAATCAGTGCTCGAAATCCAGAAAAGTAAAATGATAATTGTTATTGCTTCACCAACTGAAATTTTTAAAACCTCATTTAGTCAAAGATGGTGTCTCTGAAGATGGAACTGCGAAAATCATTGATGCTAATGATCTCAGCTACACTAACTCTATTCCTATTAAATAAGCATTTCCTACAAATTAAAAATCCAAATTTCAGGCTGGCTTTAGCTGGAACCTCCCACTAAACCCTACTAACAAACGAATTTGTCCCTCAGTTTCTTCTATGCTTGCAGAGCTGTTTCCTATTTTCTACAGTAAATAGTCAGTTTTGCCCATATTGGCCCCGCGTCTGTGATCGTTCATCTATACGCTTCAACTGGTTTTCATCGCTTTACCATTTACTAAAACGCATTATTTTGTTTGTCATGTATGATGGCTTGCCAAATACTGAATAGAAAAATGCACAATAGAGAGTCAAAACTCAAGGTTGAAAATCCATCTTCAAAGTACTATCAAATGACAGCATTTACCCAATAAATAAGACATACATAACAACAACATTGTCATAATCGAACTTTTTTTTTATTTAAAGCAATAATTATCAACACGATTATTAAAAATTTTTAAATTGTAAACTTAACACTACTTAGAAAGCTGGCCAACCCTTTTTTTTTTTTTTTTTTTTCAATTTCTGCAAAAGCACTTTGTAGCTTATATAAATTGCTTTCATAATGATCTGCAATGGAAAATGCAATCACAAATGAGATACACAAAACAGAAATAGTATTATAATGATCTTTCTTTTTTTTTTTTTGGTTGAAAGCACTGCATAACTGGAAAAAGAAATGAAAACTTAAATTAAAGTATGAAGAACCAAATGATCTAACACATTTTAGTTCTTCTTAAACTATAACAATATAGTATATCTGCCACAAATAGTCTTTAAAGAGAACTATTAAAATCTCTTGACCCCGATAAGCATCTTTTACCGTACAAAAATTCCATGGATAAGTGACTTCTTTATACAACCTTGCTATTCCAAATAACTAATCTCATACTTTGTAACCAAATTATTACATGCTTCTAATGTTGCTTTCAAGTAACAGTAAAAACCAAGAAAAAAATTGAAATGCCATGATCCTTATGGCTTTTTTGCACATAAATACACGTGTTATAATTTAAATGAAAATGTAATACTTTTTGTGTACTCTAAAAAATTGTTTTTGAAAATAGGTTATCTCCCAAGATATAAGTCTGCACGTGAAATTCGGCTGGGCCTTAAATAAAAGAAGCCTGCACTGTAAGAAAGAAAAATTAAATTGAGAAAAAATGCATAACCCTAATCTGAGAGCCTATAAAAGCACGACCTCTTGCCATGCTTCTCCATCTTCTCCTCTGTTTTTCTGTGTTTTCAATTAGGTTGAATGATAGAATAATTACAAAAGCATATCAGATAAATTAGGGTTAATTAAGAAATAGTGAGGAACGTGATGAGAAGCTCTGTCGCCCCAGTCTTACCCGCATCAACATATTTGATGCTTCCTGGTGATTGACTCTCTTTCTGATTCCTCATTTTCTTTTCTTTTTTTCTATATCAATTTTTTTTTTAAATAATTTTTGGTGCAATAAGTCTGGAAGAGGCAAATTGGGGAAGGTGTGATGATGATTATCCATTGAATCATCCTGAATAATCATATTCTGGTGACTAATTATTAATCAAAATTATATGCACTACCATGTGAGCTCTCCCTAAATCCTCCACCTTCAAATTCCACCCTAAATGATTCTTTTTCTTAATATATTAATTCATGTTTTTTAAATAATTCTAGTGTACTTTTGCCCATTGGTATCTGATGTCCAGACAAAAAAATGTGGCTGAGCATTTCGTAAGAACTTGGACTTTGGTAGTCCAGATTAGATTAGCTTTTGACTTTGCCAGTTTATTGCATGCCTTTTACCTATAATTCATGTCCTAATTTATCTGTTTAGGTTTTAGTTTTTGCCTTTGGGAAAACCCAAAATCTCTACCTTAAATGCTCATGTGCAACCACTCCTTACACCCCTTGTCTCTTTCCCCAACCTCAAATTTTCTAGGCAACCAAACAGAAGACAATATTTCACTTCTTTTTTCTAGTCAGTAGGCAATAAAACTCAGCGTTTCACTCTCTTCCGTTTCCCTTTGATTCTAGGCAACCAAACACAAATTAGGAATTGAAATTAGAAAGAAATTCGAACCTGCCTTGTAAATTAGGGCTTGAGCGATGTTCTTGACGTGCGACGTGGATCTTCCGATGGCGAGGACCATGAAATCCGCCCACTCGCAGTGCTAAGTGGTGGAGAAGCTATTCACCCTGAGAAAATAAAAAAACCAATCCGATGGGTTCTGATGGGTCTTAAAGACAACAAATCTAAAAATTTGCCCAAAAAAAAAGAAATCAAACAACAAAAACATAAATTATATAGCTTACCCAGAAAAGGTTCGAAGGGGACAAAAGCAAAGATTTGTGAGAGAGAAGACGGATCGAAGCAGAGATCGACGGCGAAAGAGAGAAGGCAACAGAAAGGTAAAGGGAATTGAGGGGCGACATTGATTGCACTTGTTGGAATCGAAGGCGAGATTTAGTAAGCCCGAGAACAGCAGAAGAGAGATCTGGGAGAAAGATGTGAGTAAGCAACGGAAAACAAAAGAAAAATCGAGAACACAGTCCAAAGAGGGGATTCATCAATGACAAACGCGTGGAAGCAAATGGGCAAAAGCGGCATTTAGCTGCCCCAAAAACCAAAGAGAAGAATAACCGGAGGAAAAAGGCAGGGGCAAAATCATCTGCTCACTGGTCATCCACAGTACCACTTCACTGAGTTTTAGTATATATAGATGTCTTCAATTTAAAAATAAATAAATAAAAGATAAAAGATAAAAATAATAATAAAAAAAAAATCTGTGTCTACTCTCTACCCGCTCTCACATTCTCTCACACTCTCTCACACTCTCCATCCATTTAAAAAAAAAAAAAATTAAAAATGTTCACACACACTTCGTCTTTGGACCTTACTATTTATCAAGATGAGAAGAAACATTTTATCCTGTAAACAATTTTTTATCAAAGCAAATTAAAGTCAGAATTTAATGGTCCGAAGAGGGTGAAGAGGTTTTAAATATTCGGACTGGGCTGGAAGAAGGTAGGTGGAAGTCAAATTTAATAATCATATGGAAACTGCTAGTGGATTGTATTTTGGGCTTAAACCCAATTACCATATTTCATTCAGATTTTCTTGCTGGACCTATAACCTTTATGTATGGGCTTTTTTCAATTTGTTGGGCTAAATGCCATAATTATGTAGGTTTTTTTAGTTGATTCATGCGTAGAATTCGATATTGAGATTTCTTTCAATACTAAGAAATAAACCAATAAATATTTTCATTCTATTCTCATGTCGTAAACTTTACTAACTACGCTAGAAACCAAGAAGAATGTGGATATGAGTGGATATTATCTACTATCCAAGGGCCCAGATTTGGTGTTAGCAGTTATTAGTACTTCACGGGTTCTTCCATGCTTATACTCTTTGATGTCATCAAGTTTCAGCAAGCAAAGTACATCCTTGTGTCAAAGGCTGCAACATCTGCCCTAACTAGCAACTGCTAGGCTGCTTTGGGTGGTCCTTTGTTTAATCTGCAGTCGGCATTTTCCTTATCTTCATATCTTGATAGGTGTTGGTGCAAGTGTGTTGGGGTTGTGTTATTTGCAAGTAACTTAAGTAAGTTTGTAAATATCAGATCATTTGACACAATCAAATGTATAATATACAAACAACTTTTTGTTTTTATTTTTTTCTGCTAATATTATTGGCTACAATAGTAACATGTATTTAATACAATCATTATCTGACGGTTAGATGTAATTCATGTGAATATATACATATATAATCAAGAGACCATATCAAACTATTAAAATGATGATTGTATTAAATACATATAAATATTATAGTTAAGTCGAAAAACAACCCACACTCGGTTTAAATAATTAGTGACACTTGCAGTTTGTTTGTACCCGTCATAACATGGTGGGGTATTACGAAGTGAAAAGAACTTGATGAGTAGAGGATCTCCTGAACCTCTATGGGTGTTTTGTTTGTTGTGTCTTCCTCCCACTACACATCTCTATTTCCTTCGGGTTTTAAAAAGCTCACTAGCTACTATGGTAACGATAATGATAGACAACCACTTGGGTAAAATGTAGTTGGCCAATCGAAAAGGGAATTAGGGCTTGTTTGACAAGTACTTTTAAATGACTAAAAACCTTTTTAGAAAAAATATTTTTGGATTCCAAAAACACTTGAATTACTTTCTACTAAAAGCACTTGAAGTGCTTCATGCTAAAAAAGTACCAGTTATGTAATTCGAGTGTTTTTCTAGAATTAACTTGCATTTTACTAAAGTTTGGTTCCAAAAACATTTTATCTGAAAATATTTTCAATATTTTAAGAGTACTTATGAAAATGGTCCTCAAAAGAGTGAAAGTGATCCTTAATTTGTATGCAATGGTCCCATGTGCATGGCAAGAAGGCGACCATGCCGAGTAGGTTGGTTTTGTGGTTGTGTCGAATCAACTTTGCAATTTTGGCTTCTTGTCCGCAAAGCAAGCCTTTGGAAGCCTCGTTCCTACATTATATATACTTCTCGGTTCTCACATCATGAAGAATTCTTCTTTCACTGTACTTACCACCCTACTTTAATCAGTAGCACAATTATAATTTGCATCACGAACCAAATACCAAACAGCAAATAGGCGGCTTTCAAGTGGTTATCTGTTATCATCATGCAATTATACTACTGCCATTATTAGTAGCATAAGTTACCCACTCTTCCAAATCCACTTCATCAATAAAATCATGTCCCATCTTGTTGCTTTCAGGATTTTAAACTAAGTGATCAGAGAAATTACTCTTTGGTATCAGATTTTTTTTTCTTTGGTTTGAAATCAGCAAATAGGCTAGCCCTAGCATGGGAAAATTGCGCAATCATGGCACTGCCACAATGGCTGAGCCAGAATTCTTTGTGAGAGAGGGCTTTTCATTATGTATTGAGAAAAAATTGTGAACTTGTAATATGAGCAATTGAAATAATCTTCACAAAATTAAAGATCCGCTAAATTTAATAGAGAGAATCAAAGAAAGTGTATAATACAACTAAGTAGGATGTAGAGACCAGGGTAACTAGTAAAAAATGTGAAACTATATGAACAAAAATACAAAGAAATTTGGTTTGAATTGTTTGACATAAAAAAATAAAAAATACAAAGAAATTTGGTTTGAATTGTTTGAATTGTGAAACTATAGGAAAATGTGTAAACATAAGGTGCTATATATCTATAGTATGAGTTTTTCTCTTTTTAGCATTATTCATGGGTGAGTACGTAGATAAAAGCATCGATCATGTAAGAAGAGCTGAGAGAGAAATCAGAATGCAAAACAGCCACCTTGGTGGAACATGCGCTTCAAATAACTGCTTACCATAATCCCTCTTATTCTTTTTCTTGAAGAACAAAGTCCCACAGGTTTTAGGGGTTTTTGGCTATTTTGACTTCTCAAACTAAAGAAAATTAAATCATGCTCATTGCATGTAAGAATAAATCTGATCTTTAAAGAATCGAGGAAGATGAAGTTATTGTCGATTTCAATAGTAAGTTTCTGCTCTCAATATACATAACGCATAATTGGCTTAAGCTTATTGATGCCCAATATATATGTATAACAGTGTGAACTTACTTATAGAGCAAACCGAAGTTATTCGCTCCTACTTATCTGGACAAACTTAACGATAATAATGTTAAGCTTCAATTAACAAAAAGTTCTGCTAACCTTCACTTACTCAAACACAATAAGTAATATATTAATAATTCAACAAATTGCTTAGTCGAAGTACAATTTGATTTACAAGCATCAAAATGAATTACAACTTCACTAGAGACACGGTCAATTGGGACAAAACAAAGCCAAAATTGTTTGATTCTACTTATCCACATAATGTATAACATGATCATCATTCAACCAATTGCTTAAACAAAAATCTTAAAAAGATCCATACACAACACCATGAATGATTATATAACAATTTCACAAATTGCCTTGTCAAGTCAAAAGTGATTTAAAGCATCGATAAGATATTATAATTCAAAACTACCTAACCTAAATACCCTTATACTTATACTCACATTCGAACACTTGATTCTCCTGCTGAAACACCCCGACCCGGATATCCACCAAAGTGAAGGCACGATAGCTGACAAATGAAAAGTAACGAAACCATATCATGAAAATAAAAAGTGTGAATAAATCAAAACCGAAACTTAAAACTATTGATGAGAGTACGCAATACGGAATGTAAATTGCAATTGTTATACTAATGGTGCAGTAAATATACGAAAAGTTCCCATCCTAAGTAAGGATGAATATTACACAAAACTACAATAATTAAAAATTCTCACATTAATTGGACAGTACGTCAGAACTGCCCAAAATCCTTTGCTCGCTAAAGAAGTTTAAAGCTCATTTGGATGTGCTTTTGAAATAATTGAAAGCGCTTTTGGTGAAAATGTTTTTAGAACCAATCATTAGTAAAGATGCAAGTAAATCTTGAAAACGCACTTAAGGTGCTTCCTGAAAGAATCACGTAACTGGTGCTTCTTGCAGAAAGCACTTAAAGTGCTTTTGAAACCCAAAAATGTTTTCTCTAAAAACGCTTTCAATCATTTTAAAAGCACATCCAAACAAGCTCTTAGCTACTAAGTCTTGGAGGGACACAAAACAGAAAGTGTGAGCTAGAAAAAATAAGTGTAATAAAACTTTTGTTTTTCTCAACATAATATAAAACCAAGTAAAAAAGATAAATAATTTTTTTAATTAATAAGGGTATTAAGGAATTGAAAATATATATTAAAGGTTCAACTCAACTTTTTATGAAAGTAACTTTTAAAAGCAACATGCATGCTGCTTTCAAAGATAATGTCTGGAGGCTACTGCTTTTAAAATAAGCAAGATATTTTGTTTTTACTAGACATTTTTTTAATGTTTAACTTTAAAGTGAAATTGTGACATCCCGTCCCGAAACAATCGAAATGTATATGTGAAATGACATTTTTACCCCTAGATCGTTTCTTTTTACGTTATTGGTTGTTTTGTGTGGTGTTGGCAAGTGTTGGGCCACACACACACACAGTCACTCTCCCTCACCCTCTGCTGCTTTTCCCTGTCTCTCTCTCTCTCTCCCGGTCCTCTATCATTCCTCTTCCTTCTGAAAACGTACGGGCACACACCAAACCCACCAAACCTTAGCAGATCGAGGGAACTAAGGCCATAATCGAGCTCGTGAGGTCGAGGGGAGCACGATCGTACCATTTTCAGGTAAGGTTATCACCGTGTTCACGTCGTTTTCACAAGGTCCAATTTGAGTACTATTCATGCAAAAATAATGTAGCACGTTTTTGGGATTTTGAAGCTCGTAGGTAGATTGGTGGTGTCCCAAGGAGCCTCGGAGTGCTTCTTTGGACAAATTTGGACGTCGGGATCGCCCTGTTCGAACTTGGCCGGTTTTGGAGGTTGGTGACAGGTGAGATTTCGTAGGTTTTAACTCTTAAAAGTTGCAGGTTTTTCCAGTTTCCGGCGCCGTCGCAGGCGCCGGAGGTTAGCCGGGGAAAGAGACGGAATATTCCGTCAAATTTGACGGAATATTCCTGACGCCGTTGACGGA